TATATATATATATATATTAATCTGGATGCAGCCACATGTTGGCTTCCCATTTCAAATAATTACGTGGAGAATTGAAACAAATCGGCTTTGAAATATGACCAAAGAGAGTGACAAAATAATTTATCATCCCAAAGCGCCTTTTCAACTCATCTAAATTTCTGGGCTATTTCACTGTAATAGCAATCCAAGAGAAGGGTCAACTTAGAACTTTCACAGGATAATCCTAATCTAATCTATTTATTTAATTTAGTGAGGAATGTATTCAAGTGATAATAGGTTTCAATTGAACCAAAAAGCAAAATTAACTTTAAATAATATTGTTGATATATTTATTAGAATTATTATTATTATTTAAGGGTGGTTTAGTATTTTCTTATTTTTTTTTTCTTTTTGATTATATCTTGTAATATTTATGTTACATATTTTTGAGATGTAGAGACTCGCATCGTTCGTGAGTACATACAACCGGATAAAAGATCTTCTAATCGTAAAGATGGATGAGAGTATTTCGAATGAACCTTCGGAAATATTAAATTTTGATCTCTGACAAGTTAGAGGGGGGCGGTTCCTTAGAGGTTTCATGAGTTATAGGAATAAGAGATAATCGAGATGGAAGGCAATCTCAAGAGCGGGGAGAAAAACAGAGGATTTAGGGAGAAACCAAAAGGAGTCCCTTGCTATCCTTCCCCCTCCCCCACAACTTACAAAATCAATAAAATAATTGAAATAATATATTGTGTACTATATGTCGCCTTTCTTCAGTGTCTTGATGGAAGATTGAGATGTGGATGTCTAGTAATATTGACTGATGTCATGTATTACCTGTATGGTGACCATCCCTGATACTTGGGTGACATGAACGAGTCGAAGTATCAGACATCATCTTTAATAAGGGATTGTTAAATGTCTTTATTAACTATAATAACTTCTTTGTAGTCATAATGATTTCTTTTTAAAGCTGACATTGCAAAAGTGGGCTGGGTTGTTGTTTCAAAGAAAATGAAAATGATCGAATTGACTCACAATTTCGATTCTGATATTTCAGCAGATGGGTTCGATTCAACCATTTCGACAAATACATGTTTTCTCCATTTGATTATCATGTTGAGTCTCGTCAAACCTTGGAGCAAGAATGCAAACGAACGTCTTCTCCATTTGATTATCAAGAAAGCTACAGTTCATTGTTCTACATTTAGAAGTCGGTGATTCTGTATTATCGAAAGTGAGAAACTCAACGGGGATTTTCTCGAAATGCTCCATTAACTAAAGGCTCTATTTGAGCATCAAAATTTTGGAGCACTACATAATTTACATCATCCAGAACTGCAGAATACTCTTCAATTGAATAATCACCAATAAACTGATTTCTCTCAATAATATGTTTTCGATTACTCAAGGACAAGAATATGAAATTTCATGTGTGCAATGCATTTTGAGATATTTGATAATTTCACGATAAAATAATTGATCATAATTTGATGGAAGAAATTGCTCTCACAACAAACATTTCATTTTGAGTCAAGTCCTGATATAACTACAACTCTCATGACGACTAGCTAGGTTCACATGATTCCACCAATCAATGGCTCTCCTTTTAACTTATGTATAACAAGATTAATTTGTCTTTCTTGAGGAATAACTTGGTCCTCAAAACAAAATTTCCAATTCTTGCTCCAAATCTAGATAATCCTCAATGTGGGGGTTAACATCAAAATAAGAACTGTGGAAATCATTTGTAGTTTGATACTTACCTTGGCTATGGTATTGATGGAACAAGTAAGGTCTATGACTGATATGAGCTGATCGTAGATGAGGATGATGCTAGCCGATGAATCAGCTTTGCTCTAGCCGGTTGGCCGGTCCCACAGGAACACCATTGATCTTGGTTCAACAGAATAATGCCACCCTTCCCTGATAAGGGTGCTAGACAAGCCGATGTGTTTGCTAGGTAGAGGGCATCACTATGGGGATGTATCTCCTATCACACTCTCCTCATAGATGGTCGTAGACCTCGATCTTGGAAATTCTACATTGATGGGATAATAGCTTGGGATTTTCGGAAGTGAGACCAACTTCGCTGATAAATTAAGCAGGCCAAGAAATTAGAAGAAAATAAAAAGATTGATATTTATACATATTGCATGATTTTTATATATTTATATATTTAGCATTGATATTTATTTTTGCAATATACACAAATGTGTATTTTATTTCGTAAATAAAAATAATATTGATATTTTTGATAAAATTTTAAAACTTTGAGTGACATTCAAGTAAATTTGAAAACGTAGGTGTTAGACGTGTAAATCTTTATTCCCGGGATCAAAATCCCCTCCTTTCTGCATCCTCGCCCTGCAGGTCCCGTAACGCCGGATTCTCCTTCCGATCGCTTCTCGACTCTGCCGTCGAAACCCCCTCGTCTCGCTGCGTCTCATCACCTCGTAACCGCCGGCGATAGCGGTGCGCTTCCCTTCCTCGATCTTTCTTCCCCAAATGGCCATTGAGAATGTGCAAACCCTTAAAAATAGCAGCAGTTAACATCATGTTCATCTTCCTCCTTATGTTAATCACTTTCAGTCTTTATCTGTCTTAGCAAACCAGAGATGGTCTTGCTCGATCTGATATCCCCGAGCTTTTCTACCACTGAATCTCCTCTACTTGTGCGATGCTCAGCGCTTGAAATATATCGTGGCTGGCTTTTTTTCCGTGCCTGCCCTGCTTTGCCACCATATAATTTAGTAGCTATTCGGTTTAGTTGGGCTTTCTCTTTTGCTTTTCTTAAAGTCTTTCATCAGTATATCCTGGGCTGCACATTGTATTGAACTTTGGAATGTAAAACATTTTTGTTGGCTGGCCCAAATTGAGATGAAGAAACTTGAGATTTGATTGCAGGCTGACATTCACTCAGAAAACTCAAATTTAAATTCATGAAGTAAACTAACTAAAAATTGCTACAGCTTAGCTGTTTTTTGGAAGCGATGTGCCATGATCTTATCTTATTGTGGTGGGACACAAGGGATAGTGGATCAAAACATCACCTTAATTGGCACATCATACGTTATCATGATATATAGGGTTGGCTTGATATCACTTGTAAGTGATGCATCACAAATCACCTTGTGGTTAGAGACAGAACACCCAACTACTTGGCCAAGTACGTTGAACACATCACAAATTTCCTTGCTTGTGGATAAAACTAAGCAAATGTTGACTCTTTGGTTTTTAACCAAAATTAGTATTTCTTTCTGGTAATTTGAAGATTTTGAATGTGAATGCTTGAGATTTAATTGGCATAATGATAGAAGAAAATACACTTCGCATGTTCATTAGAATTTAAGCTAGCCTCTCATTGTTGGTATAAGGATACTGTTGCTACTATTGTTTCTGATGTTTTTGGTGATTATAAGAAATTACATGTAAAGATAAAAGTTTCAAAGATATTGGGGCAATATTATTTGTGTTGGGAAGCTTAATGGTGCAAATGGAGTAAGCATATTTGAAATAAATAACTTATGGTGGTAAATGAGACTAGTGGTAGGATGATTGTTGTTAAATTAATAATTTGGTGTGTACATGTTGTTAGTGCTTATGTTACTTTACTCACATTAAAAGAATTGTTGAGCAACCAATATTGACCAATATTGAGACAAAGTGAACTACTATGACATATAATTAATGAATTGAAGATAATTTTTTTTAGTACTTTACATTCAAATTTTAATAAATTTTATTATGTGAGAATGCATTGGTTAGCATGCAATGAGAAATAAAACTGTGATGAAATTAACTATACGTGCTTTTGTATTAGAAACCTGTTGCA